GTACTCGCTGGTGTGTGTCGACGTACCGCCTGTGCTCGTCGCGTATCCAGAAACAGTGTTTTCCAGTTTTGTTCGCCCGGTGCCGTCGGTCACTCCTGCTGCGAAAGAAGATTCGTAGTGACTACAGTACGGTCCGACGGCACTTTTGCAGAGCGTTCAAGTGCCGTCCGACGGTACTCCTCCGTCGGTACTCCGCGTTAAGTGCCGTCCCGAAGTGTCGTATAGAATGAATTGTCAAAACGCGACTTCCCAAGCTGTAGCGTCGCTTAGCGGTTAATATGTTTGCCTCATACGCAAGCGGTCGTCGGTTCGATCCGCAGTGGAGTTTTTTTTTCTTTTTTTTTTTTCGAACATATTGTTTTGTTGGGGCATTTATATTTACATTTCTTTTTTACGACTAACACTGAAACAAAACAAAAAGAATGCTGTCGACGACAGTGCTAAAAGCGCGAGCTAGTTGCTTTGGATCGCGCGGCACGAGCGCTCCTGCAGCGGGTGCAGTCATGCCAGTCGAGGCTGCTCGCTCGCCGCTTGCACGGCCTTCGCAGCCATTCTATGCAAGGGTGATAATCCGTCGTATTGCACACGAGTAAAACTCCAGAAAAATGCGAACAAAATTACTGCGGCCGGGCTCTGTCGCCTCCGGTACACGTAATCTTCATTTGCAACAGGAGTGACGGACGGTACCGGGCAAAGTTTGAAAATGGAGAACGCTCCTTTTGATGTTCCTGAGAACGCGACGAGTACAGGCGGCAACGTTGACAACACGCACCAGCGCGGACACTGCCGAGCCGCCGAGTACCCGGCCACACACACGCCGAGCGACCAACATTTTAAAATGCAGTCAGCGGCATCCAAAGAAAACGTGCTGCTGACGTCAAAATAAAAGCTGTTATATTGACGTCCGTGACGTCATTCGCCATGCCCCCCATAGATGGCAAATCGGTGCCGAAAATACGCTGCCGTCTAAATCTCTCGAGGCGACGGTTTTACAATCCGAGGCGGCATCTATGTGCGCGCGCAACACTGGCTCGCCTTTTAACCCGCCGGAGGCGAGTTCATTTCTGACCTGCATGAAAAAAAGCCGGCGCCCCGGATTCGTCCCACGGTTTTAACCCGTAAGGAAGTAGCTTTAAGTGGCCGGATAAACCATCTTTCGCAGCCTCGAGGGCCGCAACGAAAAGGAGTAATAATAAAAGAAGACAAACTGAGCAAATCAACCCAGATGATCATTTAAACACCGAAATTAATGTTAGAGTAACCGTTGGAAAAGCCGAAAGTGAATGACAACTTATAGGGTGTTGATTTGAGAGCGCAGGCTCTCAGGCGCCCGTTTCCGGCTTGAGCGGCGTCGGCGTAACCGCCCGGTGCATTATGAGACGTTTCCCATAGTGCACCGCGCCGAAGCGTCGCGAGTGACTGAACGTCACCGTGACGTTTCGGTGGAAGTCACGTGTCAAAACGTCACGTTGCTTCCCTGAAACGTCGCGTCACGAGGGGTGTTCCGCGCGGCGCGTGCAAGAAAGAGGTGGGGAGGAGGAGAGGGTACGAATGAGGAGGAGGGGCATACCCTCCCCTCGGCACTCTTCTTTTCTCCCTCTCAAGAGCTGCGCTCTAAATCGGTGTTACAGAAAGTTGTGAACGTCTTTCATTTTTTAAGCTTAGCAAATTTGTTTAAAAAAACACCGTGGATGCTACTCTAGTGCCGTTTTTGCAGGTGGATTGCGAGGCCGGGGGGACATAATATAGTGGGCTAATCATCACGATAATTTAAATTATTAACTGAGGTTTGTTAATAATATTTTCGATTAGTGAAAATACGCACATGGTTCCAAATAAAATATGAGTCACGAAAAACCACTAAATCTGACATTTTAGAAAGACTTCGATCGCGTAGGTAGAGCAGTAGTGCGCTAAAGTTACCACTTTCGAACCAGGCACAACACTCGGGCTATGGTAAGAGGCGCTAAAACTCGCGCGGGCAGGTTATGGCATTGATAGCCTTGCTCTTGCAGCAGGAGTGATAACTTTAGCACTCCACCGTGTTTCCCCTGTGCCCCGAGGCTTTATAATATTTAGTGGTTTAGTGGTCCTCAATCACGCTAAGTAAATCTTTAATATGAGCCCCATGTCTATTTTTAGTATTTCAAGCATTAATTTACATATTTTAGTTACTTAGCCGGTTGATCGTTGTATAATTAGTTTCCTATAAAACGTTCCCCTGGCGGTAAAACTAACCTGCAGAAACCGCATTCGTGTATCATTCGAGGCTTTTTTTAAACAGATCTGTTAAACTTAAAACTAAGTGTCATGTATACTTCAGATTGAAATGTAATATTGAACTAATTATGAGAGTACACCACATTTGTGGACAAGAAAACTCCCCTACTGGAAAACCTAGTACACCTTTTCGCTATTTGGATTATGGAAGTAGAAAAATATATCTGGTTTCTATCTGGATTTCAATTTCTCAGACGTGATTCCTTCGTGGGCAATCTGGATTTCAGGGTTTCAGAAACGAGCCCAGTTAGATTTCCAGTTCTTTAATCTGGACAGTGAAAGGTTTTCCGGTAGGGTCACCAGGCATAAATCAAAGGGCATATAAACTTGGCCAGATTCCCGCAGTTCAAAAAAACTAAGGACAATGATAAAACTAATGCTCACAATATGCAATAGTTGTGACAGAGGACACAAAGTTAAGTGCGATGATGAAAACACCATTAAATTGTAGCATAGTTATGCGAACATGAAGCAGGAGACTCAGAGGGGTAGTGATATGGCGCGAGGAGTCTTGTTACGATGCAGTTTCTCTCGTTCGTTCTTGTGTCTTAGTTCACTCATTTGGAGCGCGTTGTGGCACTGTCTCTTTATGCGCACTTCTTCTTGTCCCACTAGCGGCGGGTCTGATGGAAGCGGGCTACGGGTCGTTCCTCATTATGAAAAAAACCGGGGCCAAACGCTGGCCGGTCGGAAGACTTACATGAGCAGGGGTTAAGACACCCCTGTTCTTGTAGTAAAGGCCCTCTTTCCAGTTCGCAGACAAAATCCAGTCGCAGATATAATACTATGAACGGCGTTCAGCCTACTTAAGAAAGAAGTAAATTTATGTTTCTATGTGCCCTCTAATATTATGGTCGTCGCTGTTGGGATCAGTGGATTATGCTGTGCAAAAACACTGGACGTAATTAATCGTTTTAGCTCTTGGATTGTGAAATGGGGCTAGCGAACGTCTATAACGTCGCGGAGCCTATACTTTTTCGAAGAACAAAGGCCCGCTAGGGGCGCCATTGCTGCCGTTCGACGCCGCTCCAATAGGTTTCCGGAGAAGTTTCCACTATTGGCGAAGTATATAGAAGTGTATATCGTAATTAATTCTATAGGAATGCATTTCAAGCTGGATGGATGGATGGATGGATGAATACGGCTGAGCCCTTTGGATCGGGCGGTAGCTTACGCCACCTAGCCATTTTGTTTTACCATTTTAGCTTAGAATATTTAAATGTGAAATCTATATTCACTCCGCAGTGCAAAGAAAGTGAGGCTATGAAACCCCCTTGCCATCAGTGATTAAGAAAATACCTAGTTTTCTCTCGATTTCTGCCACCATTCACTTAATCTTTGCTTGGTAATCTCTAGTCTTGAAATCCACTCTCCCTTCGCTGTCTCTAAAACCCAATGACTTTATTAAATCTATGTTGTCTTCGGTAGGCATAGGGTGAAGCCCTTTACAGTAGAGTATCAAGTGCTCAGCCGTCTCGTCCTCCTCTCCACAAGCAGTGCACACTGTATCAATTTCCTGGTACTTCACTCTGTATGTTCTGGTTCGCAGAACACCCGTTCTTGCCTCAAACAGCAATGAGCTTCCCCTAGAATTGTCATAAATGCTTTCTTTGGCAATAACTCTTTTGTTTAATCTATAGCTTTCCAGAGCAGTCTTTGTCTGCATTCCCTCTAGCCACCGATCTCTTTCTGTGGCCTTACCTTTCTTCTTAACTGAGACTTGCTCTTCCGTATCTTCGCTATAGCCCAAAAACCTTCCTCTTAATTTCCTAGTGCGCTGTCTCCACTTTGTGTCTACACTCCTCATGTATAAATAGCTGAAAACCTTTCGTGCCCATTGCTCCCCATCCATTAGCCTCAACCTATCCTCAAATTCTACCTTGCTCACCGCTTCCCTGCTCTCAAATGATGCCCATCCCATGTCTCCTTGTACTCCCTGGTTTGGCGTTTTGCAATGCGCCCCCAAAGCCAGTCTACCTACTCCGCGCTGTTTTATTTCTAGTTTCGCATGCACTTCGGATTTCATGCATAGCACTGCGTTTCCAAAAGCTTCGCCGCATAAATGGCGCCCCCGTGCGAGTGTTTCGTAGTATGAGATTTTAAGAGGTTTTAAGGCACTCGGTCCTAAGCAGTTGTAAGTGTCTCAACGGGCCTTTAAAGGCCAACTGCAGGCGATGTCACGGCGTCTCCGGAGAATTTTCACTCATGACTATTTGGATCGCAGAAACAAATGCGAGACTTAGCTACGCCATAGATTTACTTCGTCATATTTGGCGCTTTCAGCGCCGTCTCGGCCGCCGCGTGCCCCGAAAGAGCTGGTAACGTCACCCCTATATATTTCAATCAATCAGCAAATTCCCCAACCAATGCTGCCGAACTCGTTCTGTAGCAACGCAGTGGTCATCTTACAGAGGCCGTATAGCCAGTCATAGACGAATCGCAATCCCTGTATTGTACGAAAAAAAAATTACTTTTTTACAGTATATACAATGTTGTCTTCGTAAGATAAACCAATTCGTCCGTCCCCATCCCCTCCCCCGCCCTTTCCCTTAAAACAGAAAGCGTCCATAATGTGAGACTTCCCTATACTAACAAGAGAAAAATGTAGGCATATACGAAGTTCCCGTAAACGTTGTTTAGATAGTGGGGCGTCCACATTAACGGGGCCTGTATATCGGGATATTACCGTGCTTTGATTCGGAATGTTCGCTTTTTCCCAGGGAGGCAGGTTGGTATTCCTGGAGCACGTGGCCCATCCGGAAGGAACCTGGGGTTCTGTCGTGCAGACGCTGCTCGATCCGATGTGGAGCTTTTCTTTCCGCGGATGTCACATAAACAGGAGACCGGAGCAGCTCTTCAAGAATGCAGGCTTTGACCAGATGAAACTCACCGAAGTGTTCTTGAATATGCCCACGGTGCTCAGTCCCACCGTGTACGGCTCGGCCGTTGTAGTCAAGGACTGATTTTACATGCCGTGATTGTTTTTTAATCGGCATGTTTTTACGTCTAGCAAAAAAAAGAAAAAGAAACGATCTAGACGCATTTTCAGCCTGAGGCATTGTGTGCGATATGCTGGTTTTGTTTGTCACGTGTCTGTACGTGCTGCCGGTGACGAAGGCATGCGTTTGGCAGTGGACGCTCTGCCCTCTGAGGCTCTGCCTTCATTCGCGTAGCCTTAAACCAGACGGCGGACTGAATACAAAAAAAAGCGATCGCGGCGCTAGCTGTCATCGAAACAATTGAGACAGATACGCACAGCGCCGCATCTAAAAGCTTGTTGTTCAATGTAGTCACGGGGCGTATATTTTTTTGTTTTGTGTTTTTGTCGAGGTGGTTAATTTTACGTCCAAGAAGGTACAGTCTTGCTTTCTTCTTACTGTATAGACAGGGTTGAAACGTTAGCTTGTAAAGTGTCGGCTCCAATTTAGCACCCTCTAGTCCTCCTAAGATTTGCCTGCTCCCAAATTCTGCAGCCCAAGGCCCCACTCTTTGAGCACGCCACTGAAGCTTCAGTTGCGAATCGTCACGGCGAAGTGTGCAGGCGGCTCGAGTATTTCCACCCGGAAGTTGTGTAATATTGTGTCTACATATTTGTATGATTTTAAAAAGTGTGCATATTGGAACAGATTAACAGCCTTAGCCATAATAAACGAAAAGTACACTCGAGTGAATTGAGTGACAGAGTGACAATGGTGTGCTTGCGTCGCGACCAAGTCAATATATTTGAGTTTTTTCGTGATTGACTTGTCCCTCGTGACAACCGAGAGTCACAAAAAACAATAATAAAAAATAAGTGTGTTCTGAAACCGTTCCACGGCTCCATATTGTGTCGTATTTCCGGGGTCTGAAATTGTAACAGTGGCGAGGTGTCAGGACGGTGAAGACACACCCACAGCTAGAGGGATTCCTCGGTCATCCTAGAAACGAAACGTACGATCTCGAATTGAAGGATAAATCACCAACTGTCGGAGCTTGATCAAAACAAAACAAGTGGAACGCGTACATCATCGAAGTGGGGGTTCACTTCGAAGGCACTGAGGTAATGGACGACGCGAAGAAACGCGTGTTGCACGTCGCGGCACTGGGGACCAAAACGGTTTGAATGCTCTGCGGAGGAGTAGCTCGACGAAAACCTAACGCTCTAAAGTTTAATAAAGTGGAAGCAGCGCTTGATGCGTACTACAGTTCCAAGACCAGTGCCCAAGCAGCACATAAACATGAAGAAAACGTCGAAAGAATGTCGAAGACGTCTGTAACGTGACGTCGTAAAACGTCGAAGGTCCGGGCGTTACCTTCCTTCGACGTCGATGAAACCTTTAAATGTCCGCGAGAAAAGGTGCACAGAAGGTTGAGGGAACGTTCCAAATGACGTTTGTTGCACGTCACATGCACGTTTCAGAGGGCCGTTGCGTCCTCCCTCGACGTTTATGATACGTGTGTTTACGACATTCGGACTACCAACGACGTTTACAGAACGTCGAGAAACCTTTCGAAATTACGTTCCATAGCCGTCGTGGGAAAACGCTGTGTCCCCCGCCCCCCCCCCCCCCCAAAAAAAAAAAAATAAATAAAAAATATTTTTTTAGTATTATTGCGAAGGCAAGTTGCTATCATGCAAGTACGAAGGAAGTAACTAAAACACAGGTTTGGTACGAACTGTTTATTTGAGCATGTTCAGACGCGAGATACAATACGGAGCGCCTCCAAAAGACGTCCCTGGATGGCACATCCAGGGACGTCTTTTGGAGGCGCTCCGTATTTTGGAGGCGCTCCCTCAAAGATACAAAAGAACAAACAAATTCACGTAAATAAATGAACAAGAGACGATGTCACGCAGCGCGGAATGTTCCACCACTTACCTCGTTCTGCTTCTATTAATGCGCTGACGCGCTCGCTTTAGCCGCCCCATTGCGCGTAGCTGGTACTCTCGCTGCGTGCACGTAAATGGTTTCAGAAGGGGGATCCCGTGCGCTGGGCGTTCTTGACTGGGATCGTCGGAGGCGTCTGAAGGGTCTTGATCGGAGACTGGACTTGACGCGCCGTTATGTGCACTGCCACTTGTTTTCTGGGGGGCGTCATTCATATCCTCACAGGTACCTTGATCCGAGCAGTAGTACATTTCAACGTGTGAAGCGCTATGGCCTTGAAAAAGGTCCTCGAGCCATGACTGAATACGACGGCGTTTTTGGCGATCACCGACTTCTTCATAGGGGCGACTTGAACGACTCATCCAATCGCAGCACTTATACTGTATGCAGACGCGAAAAAAAAAAAAATCACGGCGACTTACTAGCCTGCTTCGTAGACCCGTAGACGTGACGGCCGGTGCTAGTGACTGGCTTTCGGAAAAGCTGGACCGGGTCCCAGAGCTGTTCTCTCTGGGCCAATGGACCTTTTGGCGAATATGTGCTGCCACCTAGACACCAACTGCGTTCGAGACTAGTGGCTCGAAAACAAGGCGCGTGCAAGGCCTCTCCCATCCGTTCGACATTCGAAACGTCAGCCACATCCAGTTCGCCCGCTGAGCCGCTGTGACTTAGATACGGCTCCCCCAAACTTGCTTTGTCCCCATCGTGGGTTATTTTCTGCCCCGAAGACAACACAAAAAACCATCCTCCCTCTCTGCTCGGCCAGAAGGAAGACAGAGAGGGTACTATAACCATTTACTCTCGAATCAATGTTTCTACAAAAGGTCCATTCGAAGAACAGAACATTCAGTCAAATATTTTGGGAACGACTGAGAAAATAATTGCACCCGGGTCCCGGAACTTAGGCTTGTCAATTGTTCGTCGTCACTATCTTCCCCCGCTTTTCTCTCTCGCCCTCTTCTTGCCGAGTTTCCCGACGCATCGCATGGGGCTCTATGGAGTTGCCACTGGCATGACTGCCTACCTTTCCCCCTCTCTTTCGCGCCGTGTCGGCTGTTTTCTTTTTTTTTTTTTTTTTTTTTTCTTTTTTCTTTTCTTTTTTTTGCGCTTTTTTTTTTTTTCCGGCACGTAAGTGCGGACTGGGCTTGAACGCTTTTTGGACCGTCATCTGGGCCATTCAGGGGTTGGCATTATGAATGTCAATTTCCACAAACCGTTGACAGTATCTACCGGATTTCGTCATTGCCGGGCATTTTAATTTTTTTTTTTTTTTGAGTCAACTCCAAATATGCGCAAGTGTGCAGTGAAGTTGTGCTCTGGTATAGTGTGTGCTGGCATGCGATTTCCGCTTGGGTACGTCACCAGTGGCAACGAAAGCCAGATCTGTACTGACAGTCACGTGACAAGACTTTGCGCCCCGATCTACCGAAAGCGCTAAGGCGCTGGAAGTTGGTGTTATGAATGAACTGTGATGTTGATGCGAACTTTTTGGTTGTGCGCAGGTGAGCATGGGTTACAAAATACGAAGAGAAATTGACGAACCTTAAAACAATCTCGGGTGGTCGCGGAGCAGTATGAATGCTCCTAGGAAAGTATGCAGGCCTGAAATCACCTGGAGAGGGGATAGTGTAGCGGCGCACCTGAGGCGCGTGCCAGGGCCCAGGACACATGGAAGACGACAACGCGCGTGCAAAATGCAAGAATGGTACAATTCGATCCGTTCTAGACGCCATCGGCTTCGCAAATTAAACCCGTAGCAATATTTTAAACAAACCAAAATTATAACAAACACATCTAAAAGGAATGATATTCCCAAAATGCTTTCATATTATTATTTTTTTCTTCCGTGTACAATGAGTTTTGTAAATGCCCTCTTTAGCATCACCGATCTGAAATTGATAGCATTTTGAAATACGCAAATTAACGTATAAATAAATAAACTTCTCAACCTCTCAAAAATTAAGCTTTTTTTTGCGGCTCTTGAGCACTGTTACCTTGACCACAGTGATTCTGCGGCTGGAGATTGAGCTGGAAAATCTAAAAACGTCGAACAAAACGTGAATGGTCGACGTTTCCAGCACGTCTTGTATGGCGTTTACGACATTTAGGTGTGAACGCGACGTCGCTGAAACGTCACTGAAAAGGCAATAATGTAACGTCACCCTGGACTTTATTTTAACTTTGAAGACACGTGAGTGTTCGACGTTGCTAAAACATATTGTCTTGACGTCGTGGCGACGATGACGACGTTAAAGGTGAAACGTGACGTCGCCAGCACGTCACGGACAGGAAGATAAAGGGATGTCATTTATGAACTTCAGTTCAACGTCAAAGAAGCGTGAGCATTAGACGTTGTGAGTACGTCGTGCATCGACGTCGTGGGAATGTTGACGACGTGTCAGTTGAAATACAACGTCGTCACAACGTCACTGATTTGACTCTAATGGAACGTTATATAAGGACGTCACCTCAACATTGAAAAAAACGTGATCGAAGTCACGCGGGACGTCACGGACGTCCGGGACTTTTTCTCGACGTTTCCACGACGTTTTGTGCTGCCTGGGTGATATGTCGAAAAGCTTGAAGTTTTTCAATCGCTGCCAGAAAAAAGGGAAGTCTGTTCACAATATTATTGTAGAAATTCGGAGGATATCGGACAACTGCAATATTTCAGCTATGTTGGAGAGAATCCTGCGGGACAGGATCGTCTACGGCGTTCGGTCGAAGAATCTCCAAAAGCAATTCCTATTAGAAAAAAGAACTGTCATTAGCCGATGAGTAATGCTATATGTACTCCGTAGTTCAGCTAGGCCGGAAATTGCTATACGCACTACGTTTGTCTCGTATAAAACGAATGGTCACAACGAGTTTTCTAAGCGGTTGCATGGCGTAGGGGTTAGCGTGTCCGCAGTACACAAGTGGACGCGGGTTCGAATCGCGGTGGGCCTACTTTTTTTTTCTTCTTTTTTTGAATGTTGTTTTGTTGAGGCATTTGGCAATATTTATATTTCTTTTTTTGCGATGAACACAAAAAAAAACAAAAAACACCGTATGTTGTTGACGAGACTTCGCAGACTTCGCAGATCGGGGACAGCGGGACTTGGGTTGCCGGCTGGACGCCGCGAAGCGGCGTGTACTGGTTAACTTTTCTAATTAGCAGCCGCATACTGTCGCCGCGAAGCGGCGTGAACGCAAGCGAGGGGCTGTGTTAACGAGCTCCCCAGAGATACACGCGCAGTTCGAAAAAGTGTTCGAAAAAGCAAAGCGGTTAGGAAATTTTTGGAAAAAGTTCGAAAAAGCAACGCGGTTAGGAAATTTCCGTTCGCACCAAAAAGGCACGAGTGTTTGCGAGCAATTGGTAACATACAACATCTTAAAATCTTAAAAGTATCACACTATATTTTAGGACATACCAAATACTCCACGTAAGAGATCTACATAAACACTAACTATCACTGGAAGCTTGGAGACAATTTCAGCTCGATAAATTGTCGTTCCAAGCCAAGTACCACGGGAAAGATAGGCCGTATAAATTAAAGCGATATATTTTAATAATATCGCGTTCGCGAACAAATTATGGAGACCAGAGGATGTGTTTTAAGATATTTAAACCAGCACCCGTGTATTTTTATCTACATTGGATTGCGTACGATCACTCTATCAGTGTAAAGATATTGTAAAAGAACATTTAAAATGTTTACGATGATTGTAAACTAGCAAATGTCTTTTCACTCTATGTTGTTTTGTGCTCCATTTGTTTTGTTTTGTAAAGATTTTTAGCTTGGAGTGAAACTGTATAACTCCTCATGTGTTTCATGATTTTGCTACCGTTGCTGCTAAAAGATTGGCATGACCACGTTAGGCATTTACGCTTTTTGCCATGTCCCCCGGAAACATCTCTGTACAGTTATGTACTAAATCGAGGCATAAAAAATAAGCAAAC